TATGTCTACGGTTTCGTCTATAACGCTCCCCAAGGGTGACTGGGGAATAGAAGTATGGTCACCATTGGTCTTCCTCCGACCGGCGGTAAAACCCTCGTCAAAGTGGGGCGTCCGTTTGACTGTGCGGGATGTACAAATGTGCAGCCGGTCAGGATGGGGACGTTAAATCCGATGCCTCGTATAAAGAGAGTGCCACGCTCTTTGCACATTAAGAACCCTTGCAACAACTCTTTGAGGGGTCCGTAGGTGACCTGTTGCAAGGCTAAATTTCTGTCCCTATCCAATATACCCTCATTTCCCGTGGCAGTCTAAATTTCGCCGACCTTAATCCCTTGAACTATTACAGAACCTACCTATTGTATTTATTGTGAACTTGTTCTCGTCCTGAATATGCATGAAATATTTGCCACTGGACGTTAAGCAACCAACAATCAATCAATCATTCGTCTATAACGTCTGCCATCTTCCGTTTGCACTACATACGAGCGAGAAGTGTGATGTTTTTGCATTATCTGTCCTGGTTTCCATTGTCCATCGGTGTACATGACAACACACTCCTTGCCTTAGCGGTTTCACATCAAGACCTCAATATTTGTCATAGTTCATTTTATTTTTACTTTGACGGATTGGGTTTTTTGAGTATTTAACGGTTGTTGATGTTTTGTGGCATCAATAACCATGATAGCGGTTATGTTGTTGGTAATTATGTTTTCAATCACCGGTTTAGAAAAAATTGTGCTGGCGAAAGATCAATGTGCCGTTCCGTCGAATTCAAAATGAGCTTCTTGAAGGTTCGGTCTTTCCGCTTGTCTATTTGATTGAGCACGTGTAGTCTGTTCATGGTATGTAAATGTAAGTCTACGGCAAGTTTCGACCAGGGTCGCTCTGGTATTTCAGGCATTCACATTGGTTTGTTCGCATTAAAATACTGATGTAGAGCGCAAAGTCCACATGACTTGACTTTATCCTCAATGTCCTGTCCCATGCCGATCCAAAAAGGCAAATCACGTGCACGTTTCAAAACTATTTTTATATACATTCCATATGGGACAGTCCCATATAATATAACAATAAAGATCGGATCGTATCTGGTAAAGATATGTGAATATTACGGTATGTGACAATATTTAAGTAATTTAAGTTTATTGTTATGCTTTACAATAATTTTGGATTAACATAAAAATAAGGGGATGTGGTATGATGTCAATGAGACAACTAGGTCCCGACATTACATTTATGCTTATTTGAATATCAGAAACCTGTATATATTGAATAGCGGTATACTACTGTTATTTATGGACAATAAAAGTCGTATACATACACAGATCCTTAGACTATAAATATCACATAGCTGGGAGGGTGATAGAGCAGATTGTTTTTTCCGAGAAAACATTGTCACCTGAGGAAGCCCAGGTTGACAATGCTTTTTCGAGGGGAACCAACCTGCTCTATCGCCCTCTCAGCTATGTGCTATTTAATTTATTATACTGAATGTTCATTCATTATTGTCCTGTCCTGAATTTGTTTTAATTGAAAGTACTTAAAGTATAACATCACATACACAACAACGTAACAGTTATAAGAAAAACACAAAAGTGAAATTTTTCTTTCATTTTTACAGTCTATGAAAAAATTCTTCTAAGGCCAAAATGTAGACCTTAATCATTGTCTTTAGTTCGTTCATGTGAATTCGATTCATTGTCCTATAAATTATCGATTTTTTATTGGTCTACACAAGAGGGTGACATTCAAAAAATTATCTCCCACTGAGCCATGGAACTAGAGTAAATTATCACCTTCGTATTATCCAATCAAAATCTGGCATTTTGACGTGAAGTATGATAATATGTATATATTGTGGATGGTGATTGTTTGTAATGTATATTTTGTATTTTCTCTTTAATTCTATAACATGAATAAGCAATTTTGTTCAGTCAGATAAATATAAAATGGAAAGTACCCATAATATCGAATATACAATAGTGGGTGTAATGTCTCGCATCTCTTTGAAATTTAATATAGTATTAAATAGTGTTTTTCTTTTTTATATAAATCAATATGAAAATAAATTAGTGTTTCTTGAAATTTCACAGAAAATAGAATAGTGACTAATATATTGTGTTTGCCTTAAAATATTTAGATGTTAGATAATATCAGTAACACAAGTCAAAAAGTTCTTCCGTAGGGGTTACCTCCTCTGCTGGTGTGTCCTCTACTGTTACCCTAACATAAAATGCAGGCATAAAGTCATCAGATGTGTTTAACTTCAACGCATTGCTCAAAGAACGCGAACTATTCTATACAACTCATTACCCGTCCATGTTTGATTCTGCTTAGTACCAATCCATAGTAAAGAAAATGATTGGAAAGTTTCATTGTCTTGCCTTTTAATACATGGGACATATCCATGGCTAAGGATATGCTTGTTGATAATGTTGGTATAAGTAATAATGATAATATTAGTAACAAAAGAGGTTCAAAAAAGTTTATCACATAAGTATATCAATAAGCAAAATTGACTTTTTAAGTAAAAAATATCATTTATTCACTGGGTAAGGGGAGTGTTGGCTGCCCACCAGATGTTTAACACTGCCACATTCTCTCACAAACCAGGAGCCTGAAATTAAGGGTTTTCGTTTGTTGCTGTCTATCATATTTGTATTTTGTTTATTGTTTTTAACATATATAAGGCCGTTAGTTTTCTCGTTAGAATTGATTTACATTTGTCATTTCGGGGTTTTATCGTTGACTATTCGATATGGGTTTAACTCATTGTTGAAGGTCGTACGGCGACATATAGTTGTTAACTTCTACGTCATTTAGTCTCTGGTGGGGAGTTGTCTCATAGGCAATTATACCACATCTTGTTATTTTATATGTCAAACTTAAAACCAAACCAGTTTCGTTTGTTAATGTTACGCACATAGCGTATCTTTTAAAGTATCCGCTTGTTTATTAACTAAATTACGTCTAAACATTTCTGAAATTATGACACTTTTTGATTCTTAACATATAAAGTCGTTTTATGTTATCAAATAAAACTTCAATTTTGCATTATTGACTTAAATCCTGTTTGCCTGTACAAATATTTAAAAGTACACGGATATCATTTTAATGTAATCTCAATTAAATGCATGACAAAGTATTCATAATGATGAATTTTACGTTTCCTGTGGAAACTATTTTCTTTTATTTGAATGGACAAAAATCACTTACACATTATCAACTAAATGTATAACAAAATCTTTGCTGATGACAATTAGCCAAGGATGAGTAGAAATCACTTTTTACTTTTCTAGCCAGTGAAAGGATTGCAATTTAAGAGGCAAATATTTTAATTTCTGTTATCAATCCTCACACCGCCTCTTTTTGCCGACAGTTTAGGTATCATGGTACTCTAAACACCAAAGTTGAAATATGTTATTTCTTGTGACGGAGATAAAATTCTTGGTATAAGTAACTCTAGCTGTCAACATTGAGGTGTTAGTTCGAACCCCTGAATTGGCAGGTGCGTTTGACTCCGATCTTAATTTTAGGTCGGTGGTTCCAAATTGTCCACCCTTTATCCCCCTCAAATTCAAATCCAAGAGAGTGCAGCGTACTCTGTACGTTTAAGAACCCTTGTAACAACTCTCTGATAGGTCCGTAGAATTCCTGTTGAACCCCATTTTTTTTGTTCCTATCCAAATTAACCTAATGTTTCAGTGGCAGTCCGAATTTCCCCGAGCTTCATCCCGAATAATGTCTGTTACAGGACCTACCTATTGTGTTTATTGTTATTTTGCTCTGATCCTGAACATGCATGAAATATTTTCCACCGAACGTTAAGGAACCAACAGTCGATCATTCAATCACAATGATAGGTTTGAACACAAATGTTTGAACGCTACTGAACTTACAAATTCTATAATGAGATATATGTATCAGACCACCTCTTTTTCATCCAAATTGTTGTCAATATCGATATGCTTACCTAGGTAAAACCAAAGGGCGAATAGAACTAACAGTCGACAAGAGACCAACACAAATTGTGGAGAACAATAAACCAAGAAAAGATCAGTCTACAAAATACGTAATAGGAAAAAAAAAAGATTTAGCAACCAACAAACGTATATTTAAGGAGAAAGTTTATGGATCAAAATAGAACAAAAAAGATAAAATAAACAAGGAAACAGTAGATTTATTATATTTGAAAAGAAAATCAGCATTCTTAATTTGAAAAAAAGGAAGATTCTATGTCGCCGGTTCAAATAAGCATTGGCAATTCAGTCATTAAAAAGTGCATATTGGTGTCAAAGGTCGAACTTGTTCGAATAATTATAAATTAAAAAAAAACATGGCACTGCACTACCGTACTACAATTCAATGAACGCAGAGTATCAAAGAAGTATGTAAAAAGCACCCGAAAATATACCCAAAAAAAAAACCCGGTTAAATTGTGCTTGTTTTGACCTTCAGTCATTTTGAAGCTTGAATGCATTTCAAAACAACAAGTTCTCACGATGTTTTCAAAAAAATAAATCTTATTCATATGACGTGAACATCACGGTTCACTCAGTAAACTATAATGGCCATTTTAATCTGAACAGCACCTTAAACACTGAAAACATAAATGATTCCGTCATGTTTAATCTTTCAGTCAATTGTATTTACTTGGTAAATTTAGTACTGCTTAGACGATTCGTAGTTTATTTTACCAACTAAATCCACTAAAGTTAAAACCATGTAAATAATAACAAATCGACAGTTTATGAAAAGCTGTCTAGTGATAAGAACTTTCATTGCAAATTAGAACTGGTTAATTATAGAATACGACTATTATACATCAAAAGTTTGTTTGATGAACGGATTTGTTTTACTTAAATAAGTTAGCAGGATACATAAAATCATTTAACATTGTCGTCTACATACGCTATACTATTTAAATATAGAATTAATGTTTACCGTCATACCCAACTACCTATTAATGTCGCATAAACTTTTCCCTTTGCTTCCTTATTCTTAGTTTTACACAACATGCACAACGTAAACAAATTTGCCTGAATTATTCATGAGAAAATAAGGAGCCTATAGATATGGACTTCACACCTATATTTATTAATGCTATGTTTGTTTTACTAATCGGTGTATACGTATATAAAAATGAACGAAGAATAGCGGACATCTCCACCAGACATGATGGAACAGGTAATTAAAAAAAAAAAAATAACAAAAATAAACTTTAATGACATCTGTACAGATTAAGAACAGATGCATTGTTCGATAGTACTTTTCCAAAATATTTATATATATATCATTGGTTCAATGTTGTAAGCCAAAGTTGTCCGTCACACTTTATATGTTACGTAAACAAGTTTGCTTGAATTACATATGACAAAAGCTAGGAATTTTAAGGAAAAATACACTTTATAGATATGGACTACACACCAGTATTTATTAATACATATGCTATGGTCGTAGTACTAACGGCTGTATACGTATACAAAAATGAAAGAGAAATGGTGGACATTTCGACGAGGCATGATGTGACAGGTAATTGAAAATAAAATAACTTTAACTCAAATCTAGTAAATGCAATATGTAATTATGAAATAATTTGTTTTCAAACATTTATTGTTAATTCGTACAGGTTGAACAAGTGGCTTAAACGGCAGATGTCGCTTTTTGTCATTAGAGCTTGGTTTTTCATTAAAATATTGTACTGCTTGTAAAGAATTAAAAGTTATTACCCAAACTACTGATTTAAAAATGAATACCTTTGAAAAAAAAATACCTATCCTATACGTTATATATATTTCCAGGAGTGACATACATCAGATGGGGTAAAAAACTATGCGATGGATCTAATACTGAAACAATTTATTCAGGTAACTATGCCCATCCTGTAATACAATGGAGGATGAAGCTCATTTTATTTTATACTGTAAAAAAAATCTTAACTAAGAGATAACTTTTTAGGAAATGTAGTTAAACATAATCCAGATTTTATGTCCTGGCAAGAAAATGAGAAAATTAAATATCTTTGCCCATCAACCTCAAAAGAAGTTGAAGGCTTAGGGTCCTTTTTTAAACAAGCATTAGAACTGAGGACAGGGGACTTTTGATTTATTTGTATAAATATATAAATAGATTGTTTTGTTTTTTTACTTGTATATGTTTTATGGGATATGTTTTCCTATGGTTTTGTTTTTTGTTTTGTTGTGTATGTTTGCATTTATATAATGTTTATATGTTATCTTTTTGTATGTTAATATTCCCCAAGGGTGACTGGGGAATAGAAGTATGGTCACCATTGGTCTTCCTCCGACCGGCAGTAAAACCCGTGCTAAAGTGGGGCGTCCGTTTGGCTGTGCGGGATGTACAAATTTGCAGCCACGTCCGGTCAGAATGGGGACGTTAAATCCGATGCCTCGTGTAAAGAGAGTGCCACGCTCGTTGCACGTTAAGAACCCTTGCAACAACTCTTTGAGGGGTCCGTAGGTGACCTGTTGCAAGGCTAAATTTCTGTCCCTATCCAATATACCCTCATTTCCCGTGGCAGTCTAAATTTCTCCAACCTTAATCCCGGACGCCCCTCTTACAGAACCTACCTATTGTATTTATTGTGAACTTGTTCTCGTCCTGAATATGCATGAAATATTTGCCACTGGACGTTAAGCAACCAACAATCAATCAATGTATGTTAATGACACACGTCTTATTAAAATGATTTATATGGCAATAAAAATTAAAGTTAAAGTTATAAGTTAAGTTCATACTAATAATTGTATTCCTAGAAAAATGTCAATCCTATTTTAATAATATGTTGATCAATACAAATCAATCGATATTGGGTTAACTATTACCTTGGGTTACTGTCTTATTGATCTGCAAAATATACAAAGAATAGAGAAAGACAAAAAAATAATAAGGTGCTCGAATATAAAAATAGAGAATAATGGGATGCTAAAATATAAAGAAGAGAGAATAACTGGCAAAATTTATCAAGAATAAAGAAAAAAGGCCCCCAAAAAAAAAGAATACAGAAATGAAGACCACCCATCCTTACCTTCATATATATAAATAATTATTTTGTCAACAGGCCAAGTAGGTGGAGGTCACTACGCACATACAGGGGCAAGCGTGAACTACGTATGCTTACCTAACGATCCGGATGTCGCACAGCCGCTGAAACCCCACTGTGATTATGATTTGATCTATGGAGCAGAATACCAAATTGGTGCCTATAACCAGCCTCAAGGAATGAGATCGGGGATAGAAAACCGAGACGCTGCATGTGCAGCATGTTTAGCAAAAGGCAAAACAGCATCAATAATAATACCAGGTAAAAGATTAAATACAGTCAGAGATACAGGATTTATATTTCAATTTTCGAGGAAGGGCCAAGAAGCAACTTTATTCGTAAATTTACATGATATTACTGAATGGGCCCCTGGAAGGCTTTTGTAAGACTCATGGCTGATTGCACTTAGGATTTATAGTTTAAACTTGAATGCTCTTTATACAATCATGATTCTTCTTCTTCAATATTATCTCCCAATTACGTCTCTTAATCTTGTTCAATCGTAAAAATTGGAGACATTGTATGGATGACTTGCTGTCAATTGTGAAACCGATAAATGTATCCACATAATATCATTACGATCCTTGTATGTCAGCTTTACCTTAAAAGGCATCTATCTATTCGCTATTAAGAATCACTTAAAAATTAGACCTTTATTCAACTTGAACTATTGTCTGGTCAGATGTCTTTCAAAAGGTGACATGAAATGTTGGCTTTAGAGCGTTTGCAATGCAATTCTATGAACATTTATGTTTCCAAGAGGCAAAATTACTTTACAAATACTTGATCAGCAAATAGTTTTGAACTCATCTGAAACATTGCTTCCATAAACCGTCGATATAAATTTCAAAAAACTGGCAATAATGGTACGTATGAGAACGGACAGACGGACAGACGGTTGGTATTTATATGTACCCAGCACCGCATATTGCGCGAGGGACAATAAGCCATGCGTTACTTTTAACCAAGGTAATAAATCTCTTTGTGTAAAATATTTCAGGAAGAGAAACCTGTTACAAAGGATGGACAAAAGAATACAGTGGAATTTTAATGGCAGGAAAGTATGATCACTCCGCTTCATCAGAATACGCATGCGTAGATAATGATGCTGAAGCTATAAGTGGTGATTCAAAGGACGAAAATGGAATTTTATTTTATCCCGTAAAAACAGTCTGCGGGTCATTGAAATGTCCGCCATACAAACAAGACACAGAAGTGTTGTGTGTTGTTTGTTCAAAATAGCAATTGCAAGATTGGTCCAATGTTAGCTGCATTCAAATGAAATAAGAAAATCTGACAATTTTGTGAAATAGACTTGTAACCGACTTGAATTAGCTTTCAGCTACTGTGAATACTATTATATTGGTTCTTTGTGTCTATTGTTTTATATTTATCTTTCGAATTGAAGAAGTTATTACAATTCTTATGTAGCGCCATTACACCACAGGTTAAAAAAAAGGGGGGGGGGGGGGGGGGTCGAGCACTCACAAAAATATTAATCAGAGACTTTATACAAGTATAGGTTTAACTGTAGTTCTTACAGTGTTCCTTACAACATGTATTTCAGTTTGACAGAGACCTTATACATGTATGTTTTAATAACTGTAGTATTTAAATGGTTTGTTACGATGAATTAATCTCAATAATAATAGTTATTATATATTTCATCCTTGTGCCATTTTTCGAGGTTCACTGGTATCTAACCTTTTTTATATTGTTGTTTGCATTATTCCGTCAATTGCACATCACTTATGAGTATTGCACAGATGCCTTTTAATAAACTTTATTCAAAATCAAGATTTTACAATGTCGCGAAAGGGTAAATGGGTGTGAATTATTCTTATCAACTTCCTAATTTGATAAATGTGATTGGTTTGAAATGTTCCGAGTTCATTTTTATTTGAAACCACAAAGTTTGACTGGGGTAAACATCCCTTGGTCTTTTTTCGACGCTTGCTAATGCGGGCCGTCCGTATTGACAGTGTAGGATGTACTTGTATTCATTCAATGTTTATGTTTGATGTCTAAGTACAAACTTCGCTGACCAGATAAACATTCGATATACAAATATATAAAAAAAAGATTTATTTTGCGAGCCGTAATAGGTATAAGCTATTGTAAGTGAAACTATTAGGTTATGGTGAGACCGGGACCTACAAACACCGACAGAGGACGAACAAACGGTTATTGGCAATCACAGAAATGCTTCCTGCTAAACGACATTTTAGCTTCGTCATACCAAAACTAATTATAGATTATTCCATTGTTTGTTCATCAACATCAAATTACTTTACGTCATTAAATATCTATGATTCAATGTTTTCAGTGAGTAACTGAATTTTAAAGTATTATCCATAATGCTTTGGTTCTATATTTACACATTCATTTTGTTGTTTACTGATACGCCTACAAAGCGCTGTTAATTGATATCTTACTTTTTAAATGTATCTATACTTCTGTCTAAAAAAAAATTCGAAGTAAATCAGAGAGGCGTGTTATGTCGTCATAATTCTGTTATTTGACCTAGACATAGACGTCATTTTTGTTTGATGAAAGTGTTTAATTCATTTTTTATTGTTTAGAAGGCCAAAATCTTTCTACTGAAGTTATACACATTTTTCAAACTGACTTCGAGATAGTGTTGGCAAAACATGAAACAAATACATACACGAAATTGTGATACGATGACGATATGTATTGAGGGGCAATGAAAGATACGCTCTCTGCACGGTAAGAACCCTTGCATTCGTATGATGTATTTGAGCTTTTGATTTTACCATTTGATTAGGGACTTTCCGTTTTGAATTTTCCACGGAGTTCGGTATTTCTGTTATTTTACTTTTTGCAACAACTCTTTGAGTGGTCCGAAGGTGGCCTGTTGTAAGGCTAAATTTCTGTCCCTATCGAAAACACTGTGCATAGTTTGGATTTTACCGTGCAATATGGTTTTTGAGAAGCTGTATGTTGATATTTATTGTGTTTCTTTATTGTGTTCCACTATGGATGGCATATCTTCAGGGTGACATTCAAAATTGCAAATAATCATATAGGATCACCCAGTTACGTGATGTTTAAATATGTAAGACAACCTCTGATAAGAAGCTTTGTATATGTTTATTCTTATAGTTCAATGCTAAAGTGTTATCATAGATGGCGGCCATCTTGAATTTAGATTGGTAACACTAACTCAAAATTGGTTTAAGGCTTTCGATGCATCATTTCTACAATATCTTAAATAAATATGCAAAGAAATTCTTAAGGAGATCTTTAAAATTTCAGGTCATCAGAATACATTTTTGACCCTTGCAACCATTATAAATTTCATCGATACCGACAGATAAAATTTGTGAAGTACCTTCAAATATGAAAATCACTGCCAAAATTGATTGCAGTTGTCAGACACTATGGATATGTGAAGTTTTCAGAACGATTTATCAAAAGTTATGGCAATACCTCACAGGATCCTTTACATTGTAGTGGCAGAAACTATACTTGTATTGTGAGTCTGGAAACTCTCAAGGCCTGGTTGAGATGATATAAAATATTAGGTTTTTCTCAAATATAATATAAATTCTACTAAAATGGTATTTTTGATTTATTTGTGCATGATGATAGCTTTCTATAAGAAATAAGGAAATATGAACCATACAGATTTGATATTGTGACTATAGTATTTGACTGAATTTGAAATGCATAATTAATTTTTTAAACATTTTTGTTTTGAGAAAAAAATATATAAATAATGAACCTTGAAGGAAAGTGTGATACAAATAGGAGCACAGTACTGTTATTACCAGAAAAGACTTAACACATAAGTTAAACCATGTAATTAAATTTTTAGCAAGAGAGGCGAAATACCGGAGAATAAACTGTCAAAGCTGAAAAAGAAAAAGACCAACATACAAACAAAAGTACACAAAACACAACATAGAAAACTAAAGATTGAGCAATACGAACCGCACTAAAAACTGGGGATGATCTCAGGTTCTCCGGAAAGTTAAGCAGATCCTGCTCCACATGTGGTAACCGTCGTGTTACTCATGTTAGTACTAACCCGGTCATTAGTCTTATTCGGTAGGTCACATTCGGGAAAAGGGGACGGGATTGTAGTTGCGACATAAGGAACATATCCGCTATCATCTGTGAAATGGATATTCCATAACCGTCATTCACCTCATGATGGCGTCAGTTTGGCTTGTGTGTTTCGTCTCTTTACTACCCCCAAGGGTGACTGGGGAATAGAAGTATGGTCACCATTGGTCTTCCTCCGACCGGCAGTAAAACCCTTGCTAAAGTGGGGCGTCCGTTTGGCTGTGCGGGATGTACAAATTTGCAGCCACGTCCGGTCAGAATGGGGACGTTAAATCCGATGCCTCGTGTAAAGAGAGTGCCACGCTCTTTGCACGTTAAGAACCCTTGCAACAACTCTTTGAGATGTCCGTAGGTGACCTGTTGCAAGGCTAAATTTCTGTCCCTATCCAATATACCCTCATTTCCCGTGGCAGTCTAAATTTCTACGACCTTGATCCCGGACGCCCCTTTTACAGAACCTACGTATTGTATTTATTGTTAATTTGTTCTCGTCCTGAATATGCATGAAATATTTGCCACTGGACGTTAAGCAACCAACAATAAATCAATCGTCTCTTTACATACATATGATGTCTAAACGAATGACCATTTGTATTTGGGACTCTTCAGAAGACAAACAAGAAAGCTAAAAATGTGTCAAAAACACCTGGCATCATTCATGTATTGCAAATAAGGATTTTTTGTGTATTAAAATACGCTTTCCTTAAGTTGGCAGCCAATTTAGGGAAAGCGTATTGTTAAGACGGCAATAATCTCCCTGAACATTTGATGTAAATTGTTTCAGTAGTACCATGTTCGGAAAGTTGTTTAAGAGATTAATATATACATTATGTAAATTACTTTATATTAGAGTACAAAGTACAGAAGCTGTATTGAACATTCAGTACAAAGCTAGCGATGGCGGTAAAATATGGTGCATACTGATTGATTATTGGTCTGTTAACGCAACTTCAAAGCCCGCTTGGGCGATTTCGTTGCGGCCAGTTTTTCAAGGTGGAGGATACTAGAATAAACCACCGACCTTCGATAGGAACACAATTATAGTCGATTAAGATCAGAGTGCACCCGAACGAGCATGGTTCGATCTCGCAACCTCGATGTTGACTGAGTAGTGATTACAGTATTATCTACCGAGTCCCCGTAAAATGGTAAATACAAAACGCAGTGATGTTAAGGCAATTTCGATTAGATTTGGTCAGGGGGAGGTTACTCTGCAAAGACATCATTAAATATTCATATATTCATTAATGGCGATGAGCACGAAAGCTGCGTCTATCGATTAAAATGTATGATAACAAATTACATAGATGCATTTGAATTAAAAACGGGTATTAATATGTTGTAGTTTATTTACTGAAACGCGAATACTGTATGTTTGTGCCTAAATTATATTGTAAACGGTTGCAATAGCTGTTTTTCTTGCGGAGATTGTCCGCTTGTAGGACCCCGCCTCCTTTTGAGGATCAACCAATCATAAGACGATCGCCATCGGAAAGATGCTTGTGGTTTGCAGAATGGAAAGCACCTTGCTGCGGAAAATATTTTCACTTCTACGTGAAAATCTAACAAGAAAAGTAAGTTTATGACACCAAATTTGTAAAATTTATGAAATATACATTGTTTCTTTTGTTAATCATTCCTTTCAGATGGCGAACAATGGCACAGTATAAGAAAAAACAACGAGTTCAGTGTTAGCAAGTATGATAAACACGTGGTCAAAACGAAAGTAGACTGCAAAAGATATTTGAAATTTGAATAATTAAAGAATCTAGTCAGTAAATGAACAGAATATCGAATGAAATAAGTTCTCTGTATCTTGCAAAGATTCCATTCTCAACACTCGCCCTGTAATTCGTTCCTAATTTACGTTTTGTACAGTTGTAGGCATCCTGTCGGGTAAATTTTAACACTACTTCGGAGCCCGGTGCCCACATTGATGGAGCCGGGATCCCTACCCCCAAAGCATGGAGACCGAAAAGTGGAGCCTGGGGCACACAACCTTGTTCGAATGAACCATGAGCCCCTAATTTGGAGCCTGGGACACACGGAACCCTGATCCCTTAATTTGGAGCCCATGCACAGACCATGATGTTGCCCTCAATTCCAGTCTCAAGTCCAGATTATAATATTTTTTGCTGAAGGCTTTGGGTATTTTTCAACACCTTATTTTTATAGATTCAAACTTGAAGATGAAAGCGTCGAAAGAAAAAAAAACAGCATGAAATTCTTTCATACATGTAGATGTCATAATTATTCGGACTTGTCCTGGACCTTGCATCTTTCTCTGAAAAATGACTGCACCTTGGATAA